CAGCCGTGAGTAATCGTGAATTTTCAGAAGTGAATCTGTGCGCTTTCGTTTTTTGAACTTGAATGGGGTATCCGACAGTGGGTTACATAAATCTTTAGCTGTTCACAGGATTGTTTTTTTTTCATCCGGATTCTTCAGATCTTGGCAAGTTGTCGTTCCTACGAAAATTTGCTTGCGGTAACTGGAAGAGCTATGACGTTACTGTTGCACTGAGCAGTGGATTAGCATTTTGTTTTGTGCTGCAGGAAGTCGAGATTCGGTTAGTCTTTTTTGTTTATTTTTGGCGCGACATCTTGTGTTCAAATTCTTAAAGCAACAGTCCCAGCAGGGTGGGCGTGGTCGGAAACGGCTGCAATCCCCTCGGCCGATTCCCACTTCGGAGCTGTTCAGCCCCTAGTCAAGAACGTAAGAAGTGTGACTGAACAAAAACTCACCTTGGAAAGCCGCTAGGGAGGGAGCTGAAGTGGGCGTGGTCGGAATCGGCCGAGGGGATTGCAGTCGTTTCCGACCACGCCCACCCTGCTGGGACTGTTGCTTTAAGAGTAATTTGCGATTGAAAAAATTGAGATGCCACAGCCGCATGCTCAATTCTATTGCGACTGTCAGCATATTTAGTCAATTTACGGGACCACTATGGGTTGTATCCCTGAAGGGACGTTTTATTTGTAATAAATTCATAATAGAAAACTTTCCTCAACCAAGTAAATCTCACTCTAATAGCCCCGCTCATTAAGTAGATCATGCCCATCGGGAACTACTCTCATCGATGAGAAGGTCAATCGTTTATTGAAGAAGCGTGCGGACTTTTTTACGTTCTGCTATAAAATGCCCAGTTGAACTTGAAGCTTGAACAGCTTTGAAGTGGGCGTGGTTAAAAATCGGCTGCAATCCTCTCAGCCGATTGATAACCACGCCCACTTCGAAGTCAGCTCCCTTTCTAGCGGCTTTCAAGGTGAGTTTTTTGTTCAGCACACTTTATGTTATTGACTAGGGCTAGCGCATCGTTCCACACCATTAATGTTGAAGGTAAAAATCTTGCTGGGACTGTGCTTTAAAGCGACAACCCACGATAATCGCAGGAGGATCAACATGGCCGCATCAGTTGCCCGGAGCCAGCAATTGCAGCTATTGCAGCAGTTGCGATTAGAAAAGGAGGGTAGGGGCGTATAAGAGTTGGTTAGCTAGAATGGGATTCCATGAAGGATATTTCGCCATAGCATGTACGGGGCCAATGGTGCACACACCTCTATCCTGCATATAGGCGAATATTGCCTTAATTTGTGGAGAGATTTGCTTTTCAGGAAAGCCGATGATGAACCCGCTGTCGGTGTTGGTGCATACGGAACCGATGTATCACTATTCCCAAACATCACCGGTCATGTCTTCGATGCAACAGCAACAAATGATGCAAATGCAGTGCCATTCGAGACCGTTGTTGTACAAAGCGACCGAGCCGAGCAATGTTACGCAGAACAGCGTTGACGGTGGATACTGTAGCATGACACAGGAATCAATTCGCGACGGTGAACTCGCAAATGATGCTCAGTAGGTGAAATAGTAGTGATTTATTTCGCAATTGTTTTGTCCAGGTTTCATGAGAAATGTCCCGCTATAGGTGTTTTGCAGAGTCGTTATATAGTTTTGAAATGACTTCTATTATTATTCTGCCTGTAACTGAATTAGCGGTGATTTGTTGATTTTATTTTGTCTCTCTTTTCTTCTCCACAAATAGCACACATTTTCGTTTGTTCATACACATTTCGGGTGAATAGTTGTCTTATTCTGACCTTGAAAACAAGAATACGTTCTTGATCCTTGCACAAAGTGTTGTTCATTCGTTTCGCAGCTGCACTGCATTGCTATGCTATATTCATATTGATTTGGGTGTGAGGGAGCCGGGTGTGTAGCCAGAAGTCACCGCGCGACGTCGCGCTGCTAGCAGTTTCGAATTTCGCGCCTGATTCGGGCACGCACAATCACGTTTCTAGCAGCGAAAACCGCACTGCGGATGTTTTTATCTGCGGAAATAGCACAAAGGCGTGATATGGCGCACAGAGCAAGTAAAACTCTTCAGGCGCGAAATTTGAAGTGCAACTGGCGCGACGTCGCACGGTGACTTACTGTAAGTGATGCACCCCGGCTAGCCGGTTCGATAAATCGCGACGTGTAAGCCGGTTTTCTTCCTTTTTTTTGGAAACCCACGTGTAGTTCGTTCGCTTGTGCTTTATGATTGCCATTGCGGTGTTTATCATAGTTGCGTACTAGATTTCTATTATTAATATAGCGCACAGATATTTATGGAGAATATTTCCAAAGAGATTAGCTGCGTGAAAAATTCTAAGCTGTGCTTTTTTTCTTTTTTTAAGCAACCGCTCTTTTGTATAGTTAATTTAATTGTCTAAAATGTTGATTTTTTATCGAAAAGCTGTGTTTATATGCTTTAAGCAGTCAGCGATTATCACCGCGAAAATGCGATTTTTTTATTGTACTAGGTATTTCAGTAGATAACGGTTATGTAGTAATTCTCTTCGATTTATCGTCTTTATCGATGATTAATGAATACTGAATGATTTTCCACTATCACAGAAAATCATTAAAAAATTAGTTATTATTCGTTAATTCGGTATTCACTTTTCACCAATAAATCTACTTAGTGTAATTCTCTTTTTTCCGCATTTCTCCTTGTTTTCGCGTGATTTTTTTCTCGGTTGTTTTCTTTTTCAATTTTTCATTTCCGTAAGAAGGTGTTTTGTTCCGTGGAGATTTTGGTGGTGTTTGGATGTAATTGCTCCGTGAATTGGTGCGATAATGGTGCAATTACACCAGAGCTCACAATTTCCATGGAATGAGTGCATTTAATTTTTTTACGTAACATTGTAAACACTCAGAATTCTAGGAATGGATATGTGATGGAGAGTTTATAAATAATATTAGATAGAACTTATCGTCTACTTCTCTCTTTTTGTTTATAATGATGCCATGCAACCTACAACTTTCATTTCCGGTTTTCTCCCCATTCATCTCTCGTTGTTTTTCCGGCTGGGTCTGTTGAAATGTCGCTAGGTTGCTCTTAGCCGGTATATGTTTGTTTGGCTCAAAATGAAGATTCTATGCGAACAGTGTCATGTTTTGTTAGATATCGAAACCGAATAGCGATTCATTTTTAGATTAATGTCCAAAACTTGACCTTACTGTGCACGTGTGCTGTTTATCGTTATAGGGTACCCGACAGGAGGCCCGTCGCGCGGCAAGAAGGTAGCTTCAGGGGACGAGTCGGCGTGTCCTGCAGTGGCTTTACGTCAAATTAGATGGAATGTACCTTTGTACCCTCGCCTTCAAATAACCAGAAATTGTGCAATTGCAGAAATTGACGTGGCATTAACGTGGCATCGATTCAAGAACATCTTTGAGCACACGTGATGTCACCTTTTCATCGAGAATTTAGCCACGTGTGCCACGTGGTTTCTGGCTGCTAAATTCTCGATGAAAAGGTGACATCACGTGTGCTCAAAGATGTTCTTGAATCGATGCCACGTCAATTTCTGCAATTGCACAATTTCTGGTTATTTGAAGGCGAGGGTACGGTCCCACATCGCACGTATAACTTCGTATAATGTATGCTATACGAAGCCTTAATGGCCGAGCTACGGGCCTCCTGTCAAGTATTCACCGTTTATGTGAAGTCGCTTATGAATGTACCACGATAAAACTTTAGAGCCGATGTCAGACTTTGCGAATCGCCGAATCGCTCGGTTAGCTGGTACCGCAACGCGACCACGGACGCTATCGAATCGCTAGTGGTGGATCGCTCGATTCGTGAAGTCTGACATCATCCTAAAGGGAATTAACATACAGCATATATTGACGGTGTCAGACACCTCAACGCCATTGTATACAAGAGTGCTAGTGTAATCAATCAAGCCAAGGGATGAAAAGCTGGCGTGCCACAACAATTTTCAGGCGGGTGTCAGATTTGCGACTAATCGCTAGCAAACGGCACGATGCGTTAGCGATGTCGCGAAGTCTGATACCTGTATTGGGATGCAACCTGCTGACAGTAGTGTAAAACTGCTGTTATCGTCTTTTGTGAGGATAACTACGTCTGCACATGCTTTGGCTGGGCTAAAATTGTGGAGTAGCTGTGGTTGAAAATAAAAAGTGCAAATAGGACGTCGTTGAGGAAGATCAAAAGGCAATCATTCGTAATAACTTCGTATAGCATACATTATACGCAGTTATTACAGGAGCGGTGAGATGGGTCAAAAAATAATTTTCGCTGAAACTTCGGCTATGGGGGTTATCGAGGGTCCTGATCACGAATATGATATTCATTTTTGGCGCTGGCGCCAATTTGGCGCCAGGTGGCGCCACGACTGATTCCCACTAAATTCGCTGTAAACTTCTGTATAGGGGTTATTTGGGGTCCTGATTACGAATATGACATTCGTTTTTGTTGTTAGCGCTATTCGGCGCCTATTTCCTGCTCGTCTGCGCCCTCGCACTAATTATTAGATCGCAATCAGGACTAAGCCTTTGAATAGTGGAGGCTCCAAAGTGAGTAGGCCACCTCTTCTGCGGTCTAACACACTTCAACATTTGCCACACGGTGCGTGGTTTACACACTCCGGAGTTATTCAACCGGCCCCCCCCGCGCTCGGACTCTGTAAAGCTTAGTCTAGGCGCTATGAGGTGCAGAACAACATTAAAGAAGAAAATATCACTAACAGCCCTGCATGTTCAAAAGCGGAGTGTCATAATTCGTGATCAGGCCCTCCCTTACAAGAAGTTAATAGCGAATTCGTGATAAGGGCAGTTGTGGGCGCAAATGGCGTCCAATTGCGCCAGCGGCCAAAAGTGATGGCCATCTTCGGGATGCATGAAAAAATTTTTTTTCTTCCGATAAACCGCCATTTAGGCAGAAGTTTCAGTAGAAATTATTATTTGATCTATCTCGGTCCCCACTGGGGTTGTAAATAGTGCAATAGTGCCATTTAAAAAGAATGAAAGACCTTAATAAGAGACTCATTGCGAGATTAACCGTTGTACCGATGAAGAAAACAGGAGTGAAAACGCGAGCGAGCATGGCTTGCGAGAGAGCACAGAATGCGAAGTAAAAATGGCGACGACCAAAGCAAGATCTCCCCTGGTCCACCAAGCTCAGGGGCCGTAAGGTATGCTTCCCCGAAGGGTTAGGGGACGAAAGTTCCCTTTAAATTTTCTCTGTCGTCCCAACTGGGATTGTCCTGATAAAGGGCCTACATTTAATATATGTGTAGCTTAAAGTAAACATGCATTGAAAATAAAGAAACAGTATCGTTCAAAACAAAAAATTTAAAGGGACTTTCGTCCCCGCAAGCATTCGGGGAAGCATACCTTACGGCCCCAGGAGATCGGGTGGCCAATATGAATAAAAATTAAGGTGAATACATCGTTTCCCGCTGCCTGGCTGGCATGTCGTAATTGCAGACTTGGTAGTTCACGTGGCATCGGTGTCGAAAAACCGATATCGCATGTGCCATGTTAATTTTGCTGAGTATTCTGTTGTTACGGAATTGGCATTGTCGAGCTCCTAGCATCAGCTCCGAAATAAGAAACGACGGGTGAAAAAATGGCTATGCCTTAATGCTTTAGATACTCTACGTGGAGACCTTCTGAACGCGTTGGGGTTTAAACAATCGCTCTTGGTTCTCGCGTCACTTCCACTGGACGTGCTCAATAGTGGAATGCGTATTTCTTTTGAACAATGATCTGCGTATCCCAGGGAATCGGCACGTCAGTGATTTGATCTCAGAAGCAGTTGATTCCATTTGATCGACTCTGGAGAGGATGAACCGATCGTCGTGAAGAGCTTTCAAGCCAGGATTTGATCCCCCGGACTATACATGCAGAGCGGCGTCACTTTATACTGTTTCGCCTCTGTCCACTGATTATATGAAACTGAGCTGACAGATCTTCGTCGATTCAGAATTGATTTGCAGTAAGCAAAACGGAAAGGTCTACTTGACCGAGGGAGAGAAAGACCTAACCAATGTAAAGGTTTGTTCTTTCAAAATAGTCTGGTGCGGGTTAGGCTGATTCTTATGCCGATGGCTTAAATTCAAAGTATCTATGTGATAATCAAATATCGGATTGGGTGAATTTATAGAAGTAATTCTTTAGACTTTCAATCCCACTCCAGTCGTGGTCAGTTTTCATGGACGAATACGAATTTGTTGGCCCATTAATAATTTCTGAGCGAAATTTTATTTCTGCAAGGTTTTGTCCTTATTTCCTGTAATAAGCACTGCTTCTGTTTTATCGTGTCTTTTCATTTCCCCTGTGCAAAATTTTTAATGATTTTGGAAGGAATTCTAGACGATGGCGACCTTGCGCTACGCTGCACGGTTTGTAAATCGTAATCCGCGAAACCTGGAGATGATGGGTTTTCAGAAACCTCCAACAGGCTACGAATTTGAAAAAGATCGAGACCGACGAAGCTTTATTTACAAGTTAGTTTGTTTCATTTACTTCTTTTTATTTGTTTTTCATAAGTGCTTCGTGGAGAACAAATATTTGTTGGTTTTATGGAGTGCAAGTTTTCATGCTGTGAAACCATTGCTCGCTTCTTTTGTTGATAATATAATTCACTTCTCATTACGCTCGTGATTCCTTTAAATTATTAAGTCATTTAAGTGAATTCCACGCAATCGCCAAAAAATGGCATCCACAGCTACTAATGGGGT